TTCTAATTCTATAAATATTGTATCGTGATGATCATCAGAATAATTCCAATTAGGTACTAGATCGTCAGTTATTCCGTCTTCATCTGGTTCAAAATCATAAAACAAAGGAATTGGGATACTAGATGCCGACGTTCCAAAATCTTCATTATTATCAAAATTTAGTCGGGGTTCTAGAATTTCATCTGACTGCGCTCTTGTGCCTTCATTATCATCATAATTCGCGTGCCTAGGCCGTATCATCGTTGTATTAAATGTAAAAGGTGGAAAATCGTTATAATCATTTTCAGCCTCATCATCATTATACCATCCGTTGTCGTCGAAATCCATTAATTCTTGTTCGTGTAAATAATCCTCAACATCATATACTTCTTCCTCCTCATCATGGCCATCATGAAAATCAAAATCAACTTCTTCCACTTCATCATCTCCACCAAAATCATCTTCAAAAAATCCATCAGCATACTCGGTTGTAATATGATTATCAACGCGAGTATTCTGTTGTGCTCTTTCTAATTCTTGTGGGTAACGTATTCTTGCAAGCCCTAGTCTGAACGGGCCCAACGTAACAGGTGGAACCCAAGAAAATTCAGCCAAAGAATTTTTTGATACGAGCTTGAATGACGAAGGAGACACAAAACAAGTGGACCAGCCCCTAAAATCAGATAAAAAATGTCAATATTAAATTTTTAATACGGAGCAACACGCTCGCAAAGCACTATTTTACCAATCTAGAGAAATATGTTTCGAGACCAAGGATTCGCCTGTTTTTACATTCCAAACGTTGCAGGTATTGTCTATACTACAAGAAACCAAGAATTTACCGTCCGGACTGAAAGCTATATTTGGAATATTGTGTTCATGACCTCGAAGGCAGATTTTTGGCTCTAGCAATAATGGATTCTTGTTCGGAACAGAATTGATATCTTTATCGGTATCTTCTTCAGTTGTCGCAACGGAATCTGGTAGTCCATCACGAAGATCATAGACGGTAATCACTAAAAGAGAGAAACACCGAAAATATTTATGTGCCAAAAAGAGAGGGATAAATAAGTTGATGAGATGAAGTAGGAGGAAAACAGATAAAGCATTGTAATATATGAACCATGAGAATTAGCACTAACAGCCAAAAGGCGAGATGGCCCGTGCATAGCTATTCCCCATGTTGAGCTTTCATTGCTAAAATTATTGAGGGTTATGAAATCGCATACAATATTTGTAATAGAAAGAAAATCTTTACGGTTAGGCCGTATCCTACCAAAAATGTATTGGTGCCTTGTGTAACATAGATGTGAACCATATGAATACACCTCGGCCGTTCGCAGCTACTAAAGCTTCCTCAATCCCGAGTTTTCCCACCTTGATCGCATTAATTTCGCTTCCCTAATATCATAAACTTAATAATGAGATAACTCTGCAAGATTTTTGATTTCGAAATGATCCTTACCCCAAATGGTTCCTCGTTGATAATATCATCTGATGGTTGCTCGGAACATAGTGTTTTTAGCTTACGTATCGGTTTAGGTTTATCTTTCCCCGCAAGCATACTAATATCATAAACCCAAATTTCATCTTTTCTAGCTATAAAAAATAAACTGCTATTGATTTCTGAGACGGCGAAGAGATTATTCCGCTGTATTATGTTATATTAACGTTAGTAAGTAGAGTTCTATCATACATAGAGTGACCTAACAAGCTTACCCATGTTAAACAGCCAAGAACGTCAACGAAATGTCCTTCGAATACTTTGTTAACCTGATGGTTTTAACATTATTAAAAAAAAGTAAATTATGCAAATCACGACGAGTCAGAACTTGAATGCAAAAAAAACCTTTAAGAGACTATATTCTTTCATCTTTAGATATTAGGAAGGTTTGAAGAAATATTTAACACGCGAAACTAAGCCATATATTATTTCAAGATCACGTGGCGGATTTCGGTCCAATATCATGAGATATGTGAATTTTTATCAGCCAGAAAAAAATGAATTCATTCTTTTTCATCAAACTCTTCCAATGGTCTAATCTCAACTTTAACATTCGAATCTTTGGGTTTACTAAATTTCGGAGATGGTAAATCACACTTTCGACATATAAGTCGAAAAGCATAATTATAGAATTGGCATTTAGGACATAACCAATCACCACCCGGCGCAACTTCTCGATTTCTCACCGGAAGCCCACAAGCGACGCAGAAAACACGATACGAGAAATTTCGAGAGCCGCAGTTTACACAATGCCAATCGCCGGCTTTACTCTCGGGTGATGGATTATAACGCCATTTTTCGGTTTTATGTCGTTTTTGAAGGTGGAATTGCTGTTGCTTTTGCAGTTTCAGTGATAATATAATCGGTAGTGACGGCGACATTATATGAAATCGTGCAATTGTGCCTGAATTAAGCTGCTTTATTTTCTTTGTGATGAGAATCTTTATAATGTGTGAATTTTGATGGCATTTGAACATTGTGAAAGATGGAACATAAAATTTATAACGAAATGTAAATCTCGAAATATTTATGCAAGATGCCGCATTTTCAAGCATTACAATGCAAGGCAAAATTAATGAACATTGAAAACTAATGGCACATTATGCAAAAAGTAATCGGCCAATCAAATTGCATTTCAATATTTTGAGTTTTGATTGGTCGATTATGAGTCACGTTTTAGCGATAACGATCTATGACACGTGTACATAATATCACGTGATTTTCTGGCAAGTGTGCGATTTTTCGATTTTTTGAGCAATAAAATTATCAACTTCAATTATGCATGCAATTAAAGTACATTATGCGTTTAATGTACAATTTTTTATTATTATGCGTCAATTCTGTATTAATTATGGTAGGAAAGTTTCTTAAAATTGATATGAAAAATTAAAAATAAAGCATCGGGTTCATTTGAATTTTTCCATAACACATTTGATCTTGCGGTTTAGTCCTTAAAAATCACATGGTCACATGATCAATAATCTTTTTGGCGAATTAATTTTTCCATTTTGCGGTTTATGCAGTTTTATGCTCGGTATAACTTTTTATTCAAGGGTTATTTTAAAAAACTGACTGGTTAATTTGTTCTTCATAACAAGCTCAACCCTTATATAAAAAGTTTTAAACTATTAGCAAAAATGAAACAAACAATCACGTGATTGTTAGCTTCTCGTTCTCAAAAATCACGTGGTCGTGAATTTTTATAAATCTCGAACATAATGTCAAATACTCAATTTATTAGAACGCTGACATAAACAACTGTCTATCTGCTAACTATATTTCACGATAAAACTGAATCCAAGGTTGGCTTTGCACAAAAGCACAGAAAGACTATGAATCCAGAAGACTCTCTTACAACTCTTAAAATTCTCCTGGTTGGCAACTCAAATGTCGGCAAATCTTCCCTTTTGCTACGGTTTACAGACGATACTTTTTTACCTCAGGAAGAAGTCTCGGCAACAATAGGTTTGTGTGCAGACTTTTTTTTGTTGCTCAGTAGATTGTAAAAAGGCAGACAAGATAGTTTTGTGGGTAACACCACGACATTTTATAGAATTTTATTTTTTGAGCAGTCATTTCAGATCAGACAGAAGAAATGTTTCATAATTTTCAAAATTAATGCAAAACTTCTACTCTTCTTTCATAATGTATGTAATGCGTGTATTTCAGGTGTTGATTTTAAAGTTAAAATAATCGATGTGGATGGTAAAAGATATAAGCTCACTATTTGGGTATGTAAATGTATTCGTTCATGGACAGGTTAATTTTCATACGATATCTTATTATATGATACAACATGTAGGATACAGCTGGCCAAGAACGTTTCAGAACTCTCACATCGTCATATTATCGTGGGGCACAAGGAGTAATTCTTGGTAGATTGTTTAACATAAAAATAACGCGCGTATATCTTCTGAGCATCAAATTAATGACTATTACAATTACTGATAGTTTACGATGTGAGCAATCGAGAAACATTCGACGAACTAGAAAATTGGTTCACCGAATTAAACACCTACTGTACAAATAAAGACGTCGTAAAAATGATTGTTGGGAATAAGCTCGATAAGGTAACGGTAATGTAATTCCTGTTTTTCTCCTCGCCAAAAGCGGATTCTCGAGTTCTCTTTCAATGTTTCTTTATATAAAGGTTACACTTTTTTATAGATCATTTTCGTTCGTTTTTAGGAATCATCACGCGTCATATCTCGTAAAGAAGGTTTAGCATTCGCACAGAAATCTAATACTTTATTTATCGAGTGTAGCGCAAAGACAAGAGAGGGCGTGAAAGAGGCATTTGAAGAACTTGTGCTTAAGGTTCATCATTACTCGTTTATTTTATTATAGCATACTTTTTGATATAGTGTTTGATATTAATTTATTATTTATTATTATTATTTTTATTATGTTCACCGGAAATTGGAAATAATAGATAATTCAGACACCAAGTTTATGGGTTAAAGCAACACCCCGAAATAATCTTGCTATTTCACCGCCTCCAAAAACTCAGGAGGATGATTCATGCTGTTAGATCTATGTAAATTGTCTTCCTGATTTTAATTACTATTTCAAATTCAAGACATTGTTTCTCATATATTATGTCGGATTTATTTGCCCCGGTTGATCAAAAAATTTGTGTGATTGACGCAGTCATGCGATTATCCGGAGTTATAGGTCCCAATTAATAATAGCTTTCGAAAGTTTGACTATGATACAGTGTGGAACATTTAAAGACGCCAATAAAATTAGTCTTTAAAGGTAAAGGATCTTCATACAATGACTATTTGTAAAAAGGGGCTGCTATTTTATAGTAAATTGGTCTAGCTACAAATTAATCATTTAAATTCATATGATCGATGACCAGTGGATCGTTTAATCAAAAATTTGATTGGTTAATCGAAAATTTTTTTTAATTAAATAAAGAATATAAGATAAAGAATGTGAAATACGCGTAAGCAATAGCTCACTTGACCGTACAGTCTTCTGGATAGCCAGTCAAATGCTAAAAGTTGGTCCACTCGGTAATAGTGTAAAACTAATATTATTACTATAAATGATTACTAAGAAAAGAGACTTTTATTAACATTAAAATTACAGTATGCTCTGCATTTAAAAATTTTGTATAATAATAATTTAATAATCATAATACATTCTCTAAATGCACTCCCATATGAAAAAATGATAGAGTATACATTTAAGAAGGGTATGCATTTATAAAATACATAGAGGTCTTATAGCTTTAAACTGAGCCATACCATGCGTTTAGAGAGAGTTTATATAATGTGTGTATTATAAGGAATGCATTTAGGGAAGTGTTGCTGTAATTTTTTAAAAAAATATCTATTACATTAAATTATAGAACTAATTAAGACCGCGAAGAAAAAGAGTTATTTTCGGAAGTATCGATACACGGTACAGTAGTTGAATAAATGTATTTGTAGTAAAAACAATTGATAGTAAAGTTTTTGCGAAGGTTAAAAAATCATACAGAGCTTTTAGCCGTGAAGGCGCCTAGTGACTTGACTCGTTCAAAAATTTATCTTTATCGATTCTTTATTAATTAATTAATTAATGAAACAAAATATCCTTTTCTCAGATACTGATATTAGTTGATCGTTATATGTGACTCCAAATTCAATATTTCCTATAAGCGTCACTAAATTTGAATCATGCACACCAAATGAAATCGTTCTTAACTCTAAATTGATAACCTGCGTGGAGACTGCCCAGAAATAAGCAGCACCTCATTTTTTTGAGACCAAATCAATGTCTGTTGAATGTGCTTATTTGTATACAGTACACCGTTTTCTATAACTCCCAAATTGGATTATCAATTAAAAACATCTAGCGCTAGTGATCAAAATCGCTGACCACTTGGTGTCGAGATATCTTTTAATTGGTCATAATCCATTGGCCGAAATACCCTTTTTACCTTATAATTTAAAAAATAAGCGAAGAGTAAAAAAGCAATTATCTTCTTGACAATAAGCACATTTAACTACAATTGAACATGAATGTTTGAAATGATAGTGGTAATGGTCAACTGCGAATCTTTTGATTATAGGGTTGGAAGAGTATCTAGTTTGTATGATTGGGATTACCGACCAGTAGATGATTTATATACCCTGTGTTAATTTTTGAGTCTGATTTTTGATTTATACTCGTACTGAACATAGTAATATTCAATGAGTTATACCCTCTTTTCTATGTACACAATACAGAGTACCCCCTTACTTGAGTACCCGGGTACTATAAATGGGCATTGGAAATACCCGGATACATCGGTCAGCAGTTTACGGTATTGGTTCCTGTGCCGATATCGTTGAGTAAAAGCGAAAGTGGAGGTAATAGAGGTAAGTAGCTTGCAATACTTCTGCACGGTTTCTCTACTAGTCTTGATTTCTATTGTAATGGCTGCTTTTCCTAGATAAAAGCCTTAAACTCTTCGGTCTAACAATTACGATGCCATTTTTTGGACTAAAGAACCTAACCAACAATTAACACTCGATTGCAATGCCTTTTCTGGCTTAAAGGACCTAACCAACAAGTATAATGACGTTCACTTGTACACAATTCTGGCAGAGTTTTGGTAAACGTTTCAAGCAATTAATTATTATTTTTTTTTTAATTGTTGATTGTTAATTACCACCCTTTCTATTTTTTTTTTAAAGACACCGTTATATCCATTTTTTTATTACCATTAACTATTCGCATTTTTAACAACGTCTTCACATGCGATCTATTGTTCTACGATAGAACTTAAAAAAAAAAGTTTAAAAACAATAAAAGAAAAATAGTTTTTGCGAGAGAACTCCCCAAAGAAAAATAAACAGAGGGGGTTGAACGTGAAATATTGGTTTGGATAGAGA